CCTTTGCTTCTTGTGGTCTTAGCACTTTGATTTCTTGTACTTGCTGAAGCCACTTGGAGTTTCCCTCCCTTCAGCTCTGACATAGCCCCTTTGCTTATTTTCCCCCAAAGCACTTGAGTTGCTACTTCACGGAATGTTTTAGGGTGATAATAAGGGCTCCTCATTTAGCCATTTCCTGTAATGTTTACTGCCTTATTTCTAAATAATATGCTTATGCTGCTTTTTCTTATTGCTTTTTTTCAGTTTTAAAAATTGAAATATAATTTACATACCATAAAATTCACCCATTCACCCTTTTCGCTTTATTACTTTTAAGCAGCATTTACCAGTAGACAAGAATTTACCTTTCTTATACCCCTTCCCCACCTCCCTTTCCTCATCCTCCTCTTATCATTATATCACAATATTTGGCTAAATCAGTAATAAAAGTGTACATTATTCTTACTTTGTAATTAATGCTCATTGCAGAGACAAGTTGTGTGTTAGATTGTTTCCTTTCTGGAATTAATTTTGTTTTTTTGTTTGCCTAAGGTATTAGTCCATTTCTGTTGCTTGTAATAAAATACCTGGAACTGGAATTTTATAAAGAAAATGAAATGTATTGCTTACAATTTCGGAGGCTGGGAAGTCCACAGTCCAGGGAACACGTAGGGTGAGGGCCTTCACAGCAATGCAGAGGTCTCACATGGTAGAAAATGGCAGAGCAGAGAGAGAGAGAACTTCTCCTGTGCTTTTCTTTTAAAGCCCTCAAAACCACCATTAAACTGATGACCACCATTAAACCATCAATTTAATCATCTCTTCAAGGCCCTACCTTTCAATAACCGTAGTGGGATTTCCCATCCTCAATAGTTACAGCGGGGATTAAGCCTCAATGAGGTTGGGGGTGGGAGACATCCAATCTACAGCACCTAATTTGCTATATATTTTTCCTTAACTCTTTATAACCACTCCATTGGATCATCCTCTCATAAGTTTGTCCCCAAATGCTCAAATGTATCAAGGAAGCTCTTAGTCCCTCCTTTTCCTGGAAACTTCTCGCCCGGAAGACACCTCCCTGCTGTCTCCTGGAACTCCCTTCACATCTCTCCTGTTTCCTGAATCCTCGGGTCTTTCTCTCTTGTCTCCTTCCTCATTTTATCAGAGCATGTCCTCTAGAAATTTCCTAAGAAAGAGTTGCATGAGTTCAAAATTCTTCAGAATTTTGAAGACATTGCTCCCGTTTTCTAGCATCTACTATAGCTGTGAGGACCGTAATTCTTCTTACTTTATGGTTCTTTTTCCCTTCTCTGGAAATGTTTAGGATCTTCTCTTTTATTCCTGCAAATCTGGTATTTCACAATGATGTGCTGGAACACAGGTTGTTTTTATTTATTTATTTATTTATTTTAAAAGATGACCAGTAAGGGGATCTCAACCCTTGGCTTGGTGTCGTCCGCACCACGCTCAGCCAGTGAGCGAACCGGCCATCCCTATATGGGATCCGAACCCGTGGCCTTGGTGTTATCAGCACCGCACTCTACCGAGTGAGACATGGGCCGGTCCAAAGGTCTTTTTTATTCTGTATTTTTATTTGGAGACACTTTCAGTTCCAAGAAGTTCTCTTGTACGATCCCTTTATCTTCTGTTTCTTAGACTTTCCTAGACTTTCTTTAAAAAAGAAAGGAATATTGGACTTCCTGGATCAATCCTCTTCTAAGCCTCTTATCTCCCCCCTTTTCCATTTCTTTATCTTTTTTTCCTGTGACTTTTTTGGAGGTTTCCTTAATCTTTTCATTATGTCCTTCTATCAACTTTTCTTTATTTCTAAAGAATATACTAATTTCCTAGTACTCTTTTCCCTACACCACATTATTCTTGGCTTATGGTTGCACTATCTTCTCAATATCTACATTTGGAATATGAGACCTTTAGGACAGGGCCTGGCACGTGGTAAGTGCTCTAATAAGTATTTTGTCACTATTATTATCACAGAATATTGTCTCTTTTTAAAATGTTTATTCTTTTCCTGCATAATCTTGGCTTTCTCCAGATTCCTGAATTCTGTTTAATGGTGGAGATCCTCTTCTTGTGGTGGGCTTTCCTTAAATACTCTATGATCCCTGGCTGTCTGTCTGCTTATATTTAAGAATGGGTTCACTCAAAGGCCAGCCAGAAGACTTATAATTGGTGGGATTGGCTTTCGGATGATCCAGCAGAGAGCTGGCCCCCAGGTGTCAGCATCGGGGTGGCTCATCTTCTCTAGAGAAGAAGCCTCTGTTCCTTGGCCTGGACAGAGAACCTCTGGCTGCTGAGTTCTGAGATTTGGGGCAGGGGGGAGATGTTCAGAGGTGTCATCATGTCTACTGCCTACTTTCCCTTAACCTCACTCTCTTCAGCTCTAGGTTGTCCTCTGCACTGCCATACCTGGTTTCCCCAAGCCCCAGGGAAAAGCAGATGCCAGGCTAGGGGGACTGGTTTCTACAAGTCCCCAAGCCTGACCTTTCAATCTCTCTAGATTTGACTGACCCATTGTTCTCCTCTCTGGAATCAGTGGCCCAGCTTCTGGGGTGGGGTGGGGGTTCCAGGCTGTGACAATCAGAATGAACGGTCCCCACACCTCACTTTCCTTGACTGACCCATTGTTCTCCTCTCTGGAATCAGTGGCCCAGCTTCTGGGGGTGGGGTGGGGGTTCCAGGCTGTGACAATCAGAATGAACGGTCCCCACACCTCACTTTCACCCTCTGAGGAGATCCAGGCTTGATGTGGGGCAGGGCTGGGCCAGCTGGGGTCCGCAGCAAGAGTGTGGCAATGGTCTGAGGCAGGCCAAGCCCCATCCTGCTCCATTTCTGC